AACGGTGGTCAGGAGAGCCTGTCTCCTGTTCTGCTCTGTCTCCTGCTCTGCCCCCTTCTGTGTGACTGATAGGCTGGCCTTCCTGAGGTATTCCTTTATCTGAATCCCTCTAGCACTTACTCTGAACCTAGAGGACAAAGTCCAGTTTCCTTAGACCTGCCTCTTTATGTCTGTGATACAGACTGGTAATCACACTCAGCTTCTCTGCCTAAGCCCTGCCCCGATCCTTCCATTGGCCTTTGGCCAAGGCCCTGTGCACTTCTGCTTTTATCCCTGTACTGGCTGCACCTGATGCACAGCTCAGGCTGCATTAGCAGGCACTCAGTGGCCAGATGACAGGAAGCCCTAGACTCTGGACCATGTGCCATCCTGGGTGTGTCTGGAATATTGTGCTCATTTCTTGAGAAGCCTGTTGACTCACCAGTGTGCTTCCAGAGGCCAGCAGCCAGGGCTAAGTGGGGCTAGAAACTGTGTCCTATGAGGAACGATTGAGCAAACTGAGTGGGGTTGGGGGGGGTGGGGGGGGTGCCTCTAACCAGGACCAGGTGCAGCATGATTGCTGCTGGAGAAAGGAGCTGACTCTCCTTGTGTGGCAGAATTATTGGAAGAGTTAGGAGGCAGGTGTCAGCCTAATAGAAATGAGAACTGTGTACTATGTAGCATTATCTGGTTGCCATTGATAGCTGGCCTTTATTGAGCACAACCCAGCTATAGGCATTGTGAAACGTGTTCTGTGCATTCTCATTTATCCTCACGCCCACCCCATAGGTTTAAGTGCTTTGATCCTCATTGGACAAATGAAGCAGAGATTCAAATTTAGTAACTTGGTGCAATGTGTCATACGCGGTGAATGGCAGAGCTGAAACTAGAACTGGAACTAACCTAGAGCCCCTCTTAACTACTATCTGCTACTCTCAGAAGTGTTGAACAAGGGCAGACTACCACCTTCCACAGCCATTGCAGAGAGATGCCTGTTTTGGGGGAGTTGCAATTTGCTGCTCTGGGAGGTCGCTTCCAACCCTGGCAGTATGGGACCTTGGTCTCACTTCACCGGCAGTATCCTGCCTTCATACTGCAGCCGAGTATGGTAGCACAGCCTCCAGCAAGCCTTCCTCCGGCAGCATGTATGCTGCACACGGGGCCACCGACTCCTTGGCCTTGACTGTATTCTGCCATTTGCTGCTCACCTCCCTTCACAGGCCTGGGGATTGGCTGTGTCATCTCTCCTTTCCCCTAGCACCCAGAATGGCTACTTCACATGGTGGGCATCTGTTCTGGTTGCTCTCTCATGGTGAGTCCCAAGTGGTTTCTGACGCATGTTTCCTTCTAAAATCCCAGGATAGAATATGTAACAGTGACTCCAGAGGGATTCCGGTACCGGGGCCAGATCTTCCCAACTGTGAATGGACTCTTTAGATGGTTTAAGGATCACTACCAGGATCCTGTACCAGGTGAGTTCTGCTCTTCCTGACCTCAGGGGCCTGGCTAGAGGAACACCTAGGACCTGACTCAAGAGTAGTCCCAGCCTAGGGGACCAGGTGAGAAGTAGGCTGTCACTGCAGCTGTCTTAGTCCTCCTGCAGCCTCCCAGCATCAGGAAGTTTATCCATCCACTGTGCCTATGCAGCTTCCCTTCCTCCCTCCACCTACTTCAGTGCCCCTTCCACCCCCTGAATTGGGAAACCAAAAATAGGTTTCTGGAGGGATGTAACTAAGTAACCACTTCCTGCAGGCATCACCCCTAGCAGCAGCAGCAGGACCCGGACACCTGCCTCTATCAATGCTACCCCGGCCAACATCAACCTTGCAGGTGAGGAGCTTGAGCCTGGGACTGGAGGTGGGAAGGGTGGAGCTAAAGGGACTTTCACCTCTAACATGCCCCTCCCTGCCTCTGCGTGCTTACAGATCTGACACGGGCCGTGAATGCTCTGCCTCAGAACATGACTTCACAGATGTTCAGTGCCATTGCTGCGGTGACAGGCCAAGGACAGAACCCTAATGCCACCCCAGCCCAGTGGGCCTCCAGCCAGTATGGCTATGGCGGCAGTGGAGGCGGCAGCAGTGCTTACCACGTATGTGACTTGGGGAGGAGGCTGCCTGTGCAGGGTGGGGCCCATTGACTGGCCTCTCACATTGCCCACAAGGGGCTTCACATGCACAGATGGGGCTGCCACAGCCGTGGTAACTGTCTCCAACAGATATTCCTTGTCCTCAGGCCCATTTGAAGGGGAAGAGAGTAAGAGAGGGCATAATGTTTCCACGGGCCTTTGGAATCTTTGGAACCCGCAGGCCACTAGAAACTTGATGTGGTCGTGGCTGGGCGCGGTGGCTCAAGCCTGTAATCCCAGCACTTTGGGAGGCCGAGATGGGCGGATCACAAGGTCAGGAGATCAAGACCATCCTGGCTAACACGGTGAAACCCCGTCTCTACTAAAAAATACAAAAATCTAGCCGGGCGAGGTGGCGGGCGCCTGTAGTCCCAGCTACTCGGGAGGCTGAGGCAGGAGAATGGCATAAACCTGGGAGGCGGAGCTTGCAGTGAGCTGAGATCCGGCCACTGCACTCCAGCCTGGGCGACAGAGGGAGACTCCGCCTCAAAAAAAAAAAAAAAAAAAAAGAAACTTGATGTGGTCGGGATCAGTGGGCACCACTGTGTGCTCGGTGCCGACCTGCAGACTTCCCACTGCTGGTAGAAGCACACACTCAGTGGAGAATCATCTGGAAAGCTTTGCTGAGCCCACCCTTGCGCTTACCCAGAATTCACAGCAAGGCCAGACAAGCCCCACACCCATCCCTATTTAACTGTTCATGCCTCTCCAGGTATTCCCAACGCCAGCCCAGCAGCCAGTGGCCACACCACTAATGACCCCTAGCTACTCCTACACGACCCCAAGCCAGCCCATCACCACCCCTCAGTACCACCAGCTCCAGGCCAGCACCACCCCGCAGTCGGCCCAGGCCCAGCCCCAGCCCTCCTCCAGCTCCCGGCAACGGCAGCAGCAGCCAAAGTAAGTATCTGGATGGTGACACAGTGCAGGTCAGTGGTAGGGGCTTGTTGTCAAGAGGCCGAGAGGCTTACCGTAGGCAGGTGCTCTGGATCCTCTGAGGGCCCTGATCATGTGATATGCCAGGAACACTAGTTTCTGGGTGAAGACAGAAGAGGGCAGTGTGGCAGCCAGCTGCTGCTATATCTGCCTCACCCCAGCAGAGGGGCTGCTGCCCGTAGGTATGAGGTTCCCTTCTGCAAGGGTACAGTGATTGGTGGGAAGAATTCCTTTTAACGAAGTCCCAATCTCAATTTTTCTTCCCTTCCCAGGTCCAACAGCCATGCAGCCATCGACTGGGGGAAAATGGCAGAGCAGTGGCTGCAGGAAAAGGAGGCAGAACGGCGGAAACAGAAGCAGCGGCTGACACCTCGGCCTTCCCCCAGTCCCATGATCGAAAGCACCCCCATGTCCATTGCTGGCGATGCCACCCCACTCCTGGACGAGATGGATCGGTAGGGGGCCTGCTCCTCGGACTCTGGTTACCTCTGAGGCTGGGAAAGGCCTGGCCGCCCACTGCCTCCCTCCCTGCCCCTCCTTTTCTGTCCATAAAGTGGCGTGAAGTGACGTTCTCTTTGGTGGTCAACCTGGATGGGTGACAGGCTGGATGGCCTTGTGAACTTGAGCTCAGTGTGTGCTAGGCAACAATTCTCCCACTCCAGACCCTCACCGACCACCTGGCCTGGGACCAGGCTGGGAGGGGAGTGTGGCAGGGAGGAGGAAGAGGAAGGTGAGAATGAGTAGAACAGTTTTGATTCTACTCCCTACAAGCCATTTTGAACTTCTGCCCTCACCAGACGCTGGGCTGTGACTAGGACACAAAACTCAGCACATGAGTCTCCCCTGGCTCTTGTGGGGAGAGGGATGCTATTTATTCAGTTTGGGGCAGGAGGGAGAGGAGGGAAAGTATTTCTGACCCTGATGCCAACAGCCGGGTGGCTGTCCAAGCAGGAATGCAGGGGACACAGGGAAGCAGCACTAACCTGCCCAGTCCCTGCCTGGCTGCCCTTCCCCACTGCTGCCGCCACCGCTTCCTGCCTGTCATTTGAATAAACAGTGTTTCTATTGAGCCCTTGCCAAAGCCTCTCTCTCCAACTCTCTAGCTCTTTGAGGGGATGGCTTTCAAAGCAGTGTTTGGAGCTCCAGGGACCCCCCTGACTTCCATCAGAGGCAAAGATTCATAGACTAGGCAGCTTCTGCATCGACTGCCTGGGGCACATCCCTGTTCTGCTTACCAGCCCGGTGACCCTGTGCCAGCTCTTGCTGGCTTTCAACTGGCTTTCTTACCTGTAACATGGAGATAGTGATACCTGCCTCATCAGCTGCTGTGAGGACCAAGGCAGCATGTGCAAGCTCTTTGGCCCAATGCCTGGTACCTCGCAAATGTTACCCGGTATTATTACACCCACTCACTCACCCACAGCACAGCTGCCCCATCCACCCACACCTGTTGGTCTTCTCTGGCATACTCGAGAAAGGCCACAAGTACACCTGGGTTTCTCAACTTGAGCCTCTGCTGTTCGTCTCCTCCCTTTTCCCAGCTGGGCCTTGGTCTCTGGCAAACTCTCAGCAGTAAGGTGTTCCTGCCCCACTACATTTTTTGTTCTGAACCTGCCATCCCTGTTTCTGCACAAGGGCTTCATCTCACAGCTCTGTGAGTCAGTGCTGGGAGAGTGGGGCCTCTGGCTCCCTTTCCTCTGCTTGGGGCTCAGCAGAGAAGTCAGAAAAGGCCACTGCTGCCCGGACGTGGCACACTCCCTCCCCTTGCTTTTCTTCATCAAGAGCTGGGGGAAGGGGCCAGCTCTACCAGGAACTCAAAAGTCAGCTCCCTTCAGCACAAAAGGGCTACAAGGGAGGAGCTGGACCATCAGCTGGGAAGGTCAGTCTCTGGTAGTACCATGAGCACCTTCTGCAGAGCCACTTAGAGGAGGGAAAGGCCAGGCACAGTGGCACAGAGTGGGTTAAAAAGTTCCATTTATTGGGGGTATCACTGCAGACAGTACTGCCTCTCCCAGAAGTGGGTTTCACACAGACCGAGAGTCTCTCCCAGGAGAGAGGGGAAGTCCTCCTTCCCACCCAGATGTACTCTTCCACCTTGTCCTAGCAGGTAGGAGGAAATAGGGCTGTGCCCCTTCCTTTCCCTCCCACCTGCCTTCCCATGGACTTCCTTTGTGAAAGCTGGATTGCCTTTGAGAAACCCCCGCAGCCCTGAGCCCACCCCTTGCCCCGCAAGAAACAGCCAGGTTGGAGGGAGAGAACAGCAGCACAGGGCCAGCCACAGGCTCGATGGCATTTATTCTGCACCCTGACCACCCTGGCCTCAACTGAGGTTGGGGTTTGATCCTGGGGGAGATTTTCTTTTGTTTACCTTCCTGGCTTGTGAGGGCTTTGCCCCTGTCTTTTTGGCCTGAACTGTGTTCTCTCTCTTCCTGGGCGATGATGATTCCAGAATATCCTCGCTGGACAGTTCCTCCTGCCCCCGGCCATTGTAACTGTCCTCGCTCTCCAGCTCTTCCCTGCTTTCTGGGCTGGACTCGGACATCCTGGCCAGCTGTCTTGGGCTTAATGATCGGCTCGCGTCTGGCGGGGAAGGCTCCAATTTAACCGGGCTTTTCTTCTTAGTCAACTGGCCTCTCTTGGCTTTTTTTTTCAGCTTTGCCTTCTCATCCATCTCCTCCTCCTTGTCTTTCTCTTTTTCCTTTTTCTTCTTTACCTTCTTGATCACCTTGCTGCCCTGACCCTTCCCTGTGGGGCTCTCAGAGCGCCAGATGGTGATGGGCACTGCGGAGTCAGGGGTACCAGTGGCCATGGTGGTGCCTAGGTCAGGGCAGGCGGTGGCAGGCCCCACCTGCGTTGGGATGGGGGGCTTGCTTTCCTGCTCCTCCTCTTCCTCTTCTTCATTTAGATCATCTGCCCCACACTCATGGTGGAGGGGATGGTGGATCACCGCCACAGAGACAGGTCTGTAGCTTTTGCACCTGGGAGGAGGGATGACGAGGGAAGTTTGACAGAGTCGGGGGGGCAGTGCCCTGTAGAGGCCCCTTCCCCATCAGCCCACCGGGGCTCACTCACCAGCCATACCAGAATCGCTCCACATGCTGCTCCTCCGGTGTGAGCTCAAAGCAAGGGGACTCGATGACATGGGAGCAGGTTGGGCCCGTACCCCGGGAGCTGCTGCTGTCCTCTGAGCAGTCCTTCAGCCTGCCACACATGGGACTCTCAGCCTGGCTCCCATCACTCCCCCAGGGACCCAGAGCCAGAAGCCTGAGGGACAGTGGGCTTCCGCTGGGCCTGTCCCAGGCCGCCAACAGACCTCCCCATTTCTGTTAGAGCAGAACAAAGTGTGCAGAGCTGGGACTGGGCTGGCAGCACCAATTCAAAGCTGAAGAGGCAAACCAAAGGTTGAAGGGGACACTACAATGAAAGTTGGGACCTGCTTTGCCATGGGTCCCCCAAGGGGGCGGGCCCTCACCTAGAATTACAGTTGCAGTGGTTGACAGAGCGTAGGTGCAGGCTGTGGCAGACACAGTCAGAGGCGAAGGGGTAGATGATGTGCCCAGTGCACTGCTTGTGTTTCCAGCAGCACTTGTCAGGCTCCTTGCAGTCACCTGAGGGGGCAGGGGTCTGGGTCAGCAGCAGCAGCCACAGACCTCTGGGTCTTCCCACAGCTCAAGCTAAAACCTCACCAAATTCACCTGCCACCACCAGCTGTCCCCACCCCAAGAAGTGTTTCTGCTTCAGTGGTAGTAACTTGGCCCCAGAGTAACCCCAGGTCCCAGCAAAATGTCTGGTTCCATGTCTGATACACAGGAGACCCTCACCAAGCCCCCTGCAGTCCTGTGATTCCCTGTTACTTCTGTCCTCTCCCTCCAGTGGGAGGCTTCCACTGGCTCCTGCCTGCCCTTCACCCAGCTACCCACAATGAGTGGTAGCCCTGCTCCACAAGGTACCTGGTAGGAGAAGGCCCTCCTGCCATGGCACCCCGGAGCCCCAGGAGCAGCAGAGCCGCAGCATCCTCAGTTCCTACACCTGCCCTGGCCCGCTCTGATCTCTCACAGCCTGGCCAGGAGTTAAGGCCTGCATCATGCTCCTTAGCTTCTGTCTCGTCCTTCCCTCCCCACTTCCCCCTCCTCCCTTCTTCAAGCCCCTTTTCTCCTCCCACCTGACACGTTTCTCACTCCCCTCCCTTCCCATGCCCGCTTCTTGATCCTTTCCCTGTTCTTCACGCAGCACCTTCCCACACTCTCCCCACTGCCTAGAGTGCCAGGCTTTTGAACAACCCACCCCCAGCCTAGGCACCCTTTTAGACAGCACAGAGACCACATCCCCTTTCCCAGGGCACAGGAAGAAGCTGCTGGGGTAAGAATTTGGGGTTAGGGGAAAGCCCTGGAGAAAGGCCCCCACCTCTGTTGCTCAGCTCAATGCCAGTCCTGAAGACAGGAGAATTTCCCCAGTCTACCACCACTGCCTGACCTCTGACCCTGCCTAAGGCCCTGATCTACCACTGGCTGTCCCCTCTCAAAGGTAAGCCCATGAGGCAACTCTGCGCCTCTCACAGCCCAGAATCTCACTCACCAGGCAGAGGACAGGGGACCTTACCTCGGATTCCCCCGCACCCCTAGGGGAGGGAGGGAGCCAGCACTGGCCTGGGGTGCTGTGGCTGGCTTACCCTCAAACAGGCCATGAGGACTGTGCCTTTGCCAGTGCCCACAAGGAGAGGAACTAGGGTGAGACCTCATACTGGTCACCAGCCAGCAATGAGCCCAGGCTGTGGTGTGAGTCCAAGTGGCCTCACAGTGCAGCAGCTTGGCCTGAGGCTTACCCACATTTCTCCCTCCTTCCCTTTCCCACACAAGGCTGTGAAGTCCTGGGTCCTCACTACACCGCTGACCCATGGGTGATCTGTGTCTTTCTCCTCCCCTCTTGTACCCTTTATCCCCCAGGAAGATGAGGAAGGCATGGGTGTGTGGCAGGACCCTGAAACTTCACCACCACCTCCGCCTTCCTCAGCACTGCTGAGCTGGGCCAAAGGGCAGCATAGTGGCAAATTGCCCTGAACTTGTAGTCAGGCCTGAGCCCAAGTCGTGGGTCTGTCACTTACTAGCTGGGTGGCCTAGGGCAAATTCCTTTACTTCTCTGAGCCTTTAGTTTCCTTATCCACAAAATGGGATGGTGGCCATACCTCTTTTGCAGGGTTGTTGGGCGTACTCAATTCACATATGTCAAAGATACTTATGTGCCATAAAGTTCTATACAAATGAATGGGGTGATTGTGGCCTTGAGAAAGGGGTCCCCTCTGGCATCTGTAGGGGATGGGTTGAGGATGGGGCAGCTTCAGGACCAAACACTTCCCTCCCTCCCTGCCTCAGGACCAATGTTCCACCAGGTATCAGCTTTCCCAGGTGAGGGGTGATGGGGACCCCCCTGGGTCAAAGGTCTCCTGGACCCACCTTCAGAGAAGGTAGACACATCAGTGCTGGACGCCACACCAGCCAGCAGATGTCCTCTCTCCCAGCTGGGTAACCTGTTTACATCTGAGAGAGCACAGAGTGGCAGTGGCGGCAGCAGCCCCCTCCCTGTGCCATTTATTCACCAAACGTAGCCCGAGAAGTTCCACATGTCAGGCCCCACTGCATCCTGGAGATGCAGAGATAAAACAACAGTCCCTGCTCTTGAGGGGTTGCGGGGTCGGAGGGGTGAGGGGGAGGGGAGAGGGACACAGGAGGTTCATGACAATAGTGTGATACAGATGCTGACAGGGAAATGGTGGCACAGGGCAAGGGCCACCTACCAGGACTGGAAAGGAGGACAGGGGACTATGGAAGACTTCTTGGAAGGGGCATCACTAGAGTTAGAGTGATGAATAGGAGCCAGCCAGGGTCTAGGCAAGGAGGGACAGCTCCAGAAACTGTCCCAGGGTGTGTGGAGCCTGGACAGAGGATGACCCTGAGCAGACCTCCAACTGGGGTGGCAGCTCCCCATCAGCAGCCACAAGACAGAGCCTGCCCCTTTGCCTTTCCTTCCCACAGCTAGCTTTGTCCCTTGAGGCACTGGATTTCAGGTCTGCTTAAGGAAGGGAAACTGATTGCTTGGCATCTTCAGCAAACCTTCAGTGGCACTTGGTCATCCTCCTACAAGTCTCTGATCAGCTCCTCCTCCTGTTTTCTGCAGCACAGCAAATACTCAAAATTTGTTAAATGAACAAAAGAGTGAATGAATGACTTTAAGCACTTCCTGGAAACTCCTGCAACCACTGGTTCTCTCAGCAGATAATTTCACTGCCATTATCTGTGGACACTCCAATCCTCATCAACTTTGCTTGCCTGGGAAAGGGGTGTCCCTCCTTTCTCATGCCCAAAGCATCTATATTTTAGGTCCCAGCCAGAATTGACACTTTCTTCTTTACTGGCTTCTTTTTTCCCCCCTTACAGGCTATAAACATCATAAAACAAAACACTCTGTCAATCCTGTTTCTCCTATCATTGCGTATACCCCTTTCAATCCAAATTGATTCACTCATTCATTTAGAGGACATATGTTGGGTGGCTTCACTCAGCACTAGAAAAGAGGCCAAGTCCCTACCTTCAGTGAGCTCAGTGTCTCCACCTCTTTCTTCTCTTCCAGCCACCTGCAACATGGTAGCCACCGCCCCCCAATCTGAATAGCTTTGGCAAAGGCCACCAGCAGTTTCCCAGTAGCCAAACCCAGTGGGCTGCTTATCTCACTTGACCCTGTTTTTTGTTTTTGTTGTTTCTTGTTTTTGTTTGTTTTGTTTTGAGATGGAGTCTCGCTCTGTCGCCCAGGCTGGAGTGCAGTGGTGCGATCTCGGCTCACTGCACCCTCTGCCTCCCAGGTTCAAGCAATTCTCCTGCCTCAGCCTCCTGAGTAGCTGGGATTACAGGTGCGCGCCACCACACCTGGCTAATTTTTGTATTTTTAGTAGAGACGGTGTTTCACCATGTTGGACAGGCTGGTCTCAAACTCCTGACCTCGTGGTCCGCCCTCCTTGGCCTCCCAAAGTGTTAGGATTACAGGCGTGAGCCACCGCGCCCAGCCTCACTTGACCCTGTTGACCAATGAATCTCCTTCTGCAAACTGTTCCTTGGACTTCCATGGCAGACCTCATCTTTCTCTTCCTTCTCTAACCAGCTCTTTAGTTCTTCCCTGTCTCCTTTGCTATCTCCTCTTGTTTTGCTGTACACCTTAAATTGGTGATTACCAGACTTGGTCACCTCCTCAGAAGACTCTACAAAAGCATGTCCTGGATAATTTCATCAACTTCCATGTTTTCAACATCCACCAGTGAAATGACATAAATCTGTAATCCCATCATTTTGGGAGTCTGAGGCGAAAAGATCACAAGCCCAGGAGTTCGAGACCAGCCTGGGCAACGTGGCAAAACCCCATCTCTACAAAAAATACAAAAATTTAGCTAGCTTAGTGGTGCACACCTGTAGTCCCAGCTACTCAGGAGGCTGAGGTGGGAGGGTCACCTGAGTCCAGGGAGGTCAAGGCCGCAGTGAGCCATGATTGCGCCACTGCATTGTGGCCTGGGCAATAGAGTAAGACCCTGTCTCAACTAAAATATATACCTTTGATTCTAAATCCCCACCACAGCCCCATTCGATGGATGAGAACAGAGACTTAGGATAAGTAAGTTGTCCAAAGATACATGTTAATAGATGGCAGAGGTAGGATTCAAACCCAGGTCTTCCTGGTTCCATAGCCTATGCTCTTTCAGCCCTATCTACTTACTGTTGGCTGGGGACACACCCCTGTAAACAAAGGCCATTCTGTATGTGAAGCTCCACAGCCAAGCCTTAAAACCACATTCTGCTTTAGTGAGCTGGCAAGGCAGAGGTTGCAGTGAGCTGAGAGCACCACAGCACTCCAGCCTGGGAGACAGAGACGCTGTCTTACAAAATAGCTGGGCGCGGTGGCTCACACCTATAATCCCAGAACTTCGGGAGGTTGAGGCAGGTGGATCACGAGGTCAGGAGATCGAGACCATCCTGGCTAACACAGTGAAACCTCGTCTCTACTAAAAATACAAAAAATTAGCCGAGTGTGGTGGCGAGCACCTGTAATACCAGCTACTCACAAGGCTGAGGCAGGAGAATAGTGTGAACCCAGGAGGCGGAGCTTGCAGTGAGCCAAGATCGGGCACTGCACTCCAGCCTGGGCTACAGAGCGAGACTCTGTCTAAAAAAAAATAAAAATAAAAATAAAATAATAAATCACATTCAGCTCCATATGCAAAACCTGTCCTACCAGGCTGGGTGCAGTGGTTCATGCCTGTAATCCCAGAACCTTGGGAGGCTGAGGTGGGCGGATCACTTGAGGTCGGGAGTTTGAGACCAGCACGGCCAACATAGTGAAATCCCATCTCTACTAAAAATCCAAACATCAGCCAGGCGTGGTGGCGCACACCTGTAGTCCCAGCTGCTCTGGAGGCCGAGGCAGGAGAATTTCTTGAACCCCAGAGGTGTAGGTTGCAGTGAGCCGATACGGTGCTACTGCACTCCAGCCTGGGCGGCAGAGTGAGACAGTGGGGAGGACGGGTGTTTTTTTATTTTATTTTATTTTATTTTGAGACGGAGTCTCGCTCTGTCACCCAGGCTGGAGTGCAGTGGCCGGATCTCAGCTCACTGCAAGCTCCACCTCCCGGGTTGACGCCATTCTCCTGCCTCAACCTCCCGAATAGCTGAGACTACAGGCGCCCGCCACCTCGCCCAGCTAGTTTTTTGTATTTTTTAATAGAGACGGGGTTTCGCCATGTTAGCCAGGATGGTCTCGATCTGACCTCGTGATCCGCCTGTCTCGGCCTCCCAAAGTGCTGGGATTACAGACTTGAGCCACTGCGCCCGGCCGGACGGGTGTTTTTTTGAGGCGCAGTCACTTCCTACTACACCTGCTCTTTAGCTCCAACACAGCCAATTCCTCACCCTCTGGTTTTACTCAATCCGGACTCCACAGCCTCCCTTATCCACCCTGGACCCTAAAGTCTTGCTGCTGGGGCCTCAGCCAGGGTGAGGAACCAAAACTCCTCTGCCTTGCTGTTTCATGAGCCACCATGAAAGAGGCGCACATGGCCGGGCGCGGTGGCTCACGCCTGTAATCCCAGCACTTTGGGAGGCCGAGGTTGGCGGATCACAAAGTCAGGAGTTCAAGACCAGCCTGACCAACATGGTGAAACCCCGTCTCTACTAAAAATACAAAAAAAAAAAATAGCTGGGTGTGGTGGCACGCGCCTGTAATCCCAGCTACTCAGGAGGCTGAGGCAGGAGAATTGCTTGAACCCGGGAGGCGGAATTTGCAGTGAGCCGAGATTGCGCCACTGCACTCCAGCCTGGGCAACAGAGCGAGACTCCGTCTCAAAAAAAAACACACATGCAGGGTCAGAGCCTGTTTACTCTCCACTGACTAGATCCCCCAGAGGTCAGACACCCATCAGCTCTGTTTGTGAAGGAGACGAGGGGAGGAGGGACAAAGGGGGAGACGAATTTAGTAACTCTCTTCAGAGCTGAGAAAAGCAACCTGCTCTTTAGTTCCAGAGGACAGGAGAGCTCTGACCAGCAGCAGTTCAGAGGTCCTGCAGCAGGAGTGACTGACAACACACACAATGAATGAGGGTGATAGGGTGAAAGAAAGTGGGAGGCTTATGGCGTCTTTCCCCGTGAAGCGTTATCGGCGCACAGAGGCCTAACTCAAGACTCACAGGTTATGCTCATCTGTACAGAATCCTCCCGGTCCTGCAGGGCCGAGGAGCTCTCCTCGCCCTCGAGGCACTGGGGGTGGGCACCAGAGCAGCCGAAAGGAGTAGGGCGGGAAGGGAGGGAAGGAGAAGGAAGGGAAGAAACTAGGAAAGGAAGGAGGGAAGAGGAGGAAGCAAGGGAGGGCCAGTGCGCCCGCGTCTCCTTGGAAATGCCTCTCTGGCCTCGCCCCCGCGGAGGTAATTGTGATGCCACGCGTGGAACCCTCAGTCTCCCTGGTCCACCCTCAGGGTTGATGGAATCGCCCGCTCCCGCCCAGGCGTCCGGGTGGGCGCTGGTCCATGGGCTCCAGCCAAGGCCGGCGCTTCAAGGGCAGCGGCCTGCGCCCGGTGCCACCCAGTCCGATAGCCAAGAGTTACAGCTCTGGCTGGAGCCAGACTTCCCGCCCAACCCGCGGGCGACCCAGCAGGGCCTCAAGCCACCAGTCCTCAATCATTGGCCCGCGGCTCGACGCGAGCCCGCCCCCGGCCCTAGCTCCGCCCCGGCCCAGCGCTCGGCCCCGCCTCCCTCGTTGGTTTGCCAGCCTCCCGCGTGCGCCGCTCGGGGTCTGCGAGCCCGGCCACGCCCTCTGCCCAGCCCCTGCCCAGCCCCTGCCCCGCCCCTCTTACCGCAGCACCGGCTCTCATCCCACGAGCGGACCTTGGGCTCGGTCTTTTCCTTAGTCCATCTTTCAATTGTGAGTGTCGTCCTGACCCACATCGCTCTCCGCCCAGGTCTTCGTCTCTACAGGACTCTTCCTTGAAGTCCAACCCTGAGCCTCAGCCCGGCCGAGCCCTCGGCCCAGCCGTGAACTCCAGTCTCGGCTTCGCCCCCGCCTAGACCCTAACCCCGCCTCATGCTGGCGCAGCCCCCGCCCGCCTCCCCAGCTCCGCTCCAGGCTGCGTAGTCTTCCCAGCCCGGGTCTCAGCGTCAGCCGCGTTCTTCATCCGGGGCCTCCTGGCGCTTCGCAGGCCCCTCTTTGTTCCCCCTGTAACCCTAGGATTTCCCCTTTATCTCAGACCTTAACCTTACAGGCCCAGCTTTCACCACCCATCTCTGGTTCCAGCTTGCAGTCCAAGCCCCAGATTTTAACCCTGCCTCCAGATCGTAGCCCCAATTCTTAGTGTTACAACGAGCCTTGCCCCCAGCCCCATTCTTAGCCCCGCCCCGGTCATTCTCTAAACCGCACACTCCCGCCCCGCTCCCCGCCCCGCCGACCCTTGGGAACCCAGCCGCAGCCCCGCCTCTGCCCGCCGGCGAGCGAGCGAACCCCAACTCTACAAAAAATACAAAAATTAGTTAGCTTAGTGGCGCGCACTTGTAGTCCCAGCTACTTGGGAGGCTGAGGTGGGAGGATTACCTGAGCCCAGGGAGGTCCTGGCGTCGCCATCTCCACTCCACCGTCCGGGCTTCGAGGTCCCTCCCGCTCTGGTGGAGCCCAGGCTTCCCCTCTCTCCGCCCACAGACCTCTCCCAAGGCCTAACTCCCGGCTGAGGACCTGATGTCGGCTCCCAGACCCTGCGCCACCCCGCAGCGTTCCCGGCCCCTGGCCCCCATAGGACACCCTATTCTACAGACAATACTTCCGGATAGAGAGTCGTAAGCTTATCCCGTCTGGAGAACAGGGCAGGCTGCATTCATTGGAACCTCATCACAGTGACACCCCTCACGCCCTCAGGTACAACACTCTGCGCATGTATATATCACAGAACACAGAAAATCTACTCACCACACACATACAACATGCACACGGAACACAGAACTCCCATACCCGGTGCAGCACAAACACCACACCTGGACTATGGTGCTGGCTTCACACACATCTGTTAACAGGCAAGGCAAAAGTGAGGAGCCCAGTGCTGTGAGGGAACAGAAATGGAAAAAATAATGACAGGAGAGTGTGAAAAGAAGTTTTGTCCACATCGCTGACATTCCATGCACCACACCCCTCCACTTCTCTTGGCACCAGCTTCCAAAGCCAGGATGGAGAGGAGGGGAAAGGATGGGGTCCACACCTTTTTTTTTCCACCATCATCCAGGGGCTCTGCTGCTGCTGCTATTGCTCCGCCTGATCCCCACCTTCGCTTTCCTCCAGACCCATGTCCGGAGTGGGTAGGGCTGCTGCCTAGACCCTCCTTCCTGTGGTAGCTCTAGAGAGTCTAGGAACTGTGAGGGAGGGGAAGCCAGGAGAAGGGAAGAGTGCAGAAAAACCAACCATCCTGGTGAAAATGGAACCGGGAATGGAACAGACAGAGCACCTGGCAACCAGGAGCCAGAATCTGCCTTCTAATTTGGACCCCCTTAGCCTCCTAGGATGACAGGAGGCCATAGTCCTCCTTTGTTGACCCAGATGTCTGAGGTGCTTCCAGCTCCTCTGGAACTCTGGGTCAGATTTCAACAGGGAGCCAGGGTCTCGGTCACCTTTCCCCATACAAACGTTAATGGAATAAACAACCAAAAAACCAAACAAAAAACAAAATAAAACAACAAAAAAGAAAAGTTAATGGTTATAACTCCTGAGTTCAAGCGATTCTCCTGCCTCATCCTACCAAGTAGCTGGAATTACAGGCACGCACCACCACGCCCAGCTAATTTTCGTATTTTGATGGAGATGGGGTTTCACCATGTTGGCCAGGCTGGTCTCAAACTCCTGAATTCAAGTGATCCGCCTGCCTTGGCCTCCCAAAGTGCTGAGATTAGCGGCATGAGCCACCGCACCCAGCCTGGAAAAGTATTTCTTTTTTTTTTTTTTGAGACGGAGGAAGGTCTCACTCTGTTGCCCAGGCTGGAGTGCAGTGGGCCGGATCTCAGCTCACTGCAAGCTCTGCCTCCCCGGGTTCACGCCCACTCTCCTGCCTCAAGCCCTCCCAAGCATCTGGACTACAGGCGCCCGCCCACCTCGCCCGGCTAGTTTTTTTTTTGGTACTTTTTAGGTAGGAGACGGGGTTTCACCGTGTTCGCCAGTGATGGTCTAGATCTCCTGACCTCGTGATCCACCCGTCTCGGCCTCCCAAAGTGCTGGGATTACAGGCTTGAGCCACCGCGCCCGGCCCGGAAAAGTATTTCTTAAAGGGAAGGCAAGAAAAGGGTGAAAAAAAGAAAAAATTCTCCAGTAGTGAAAATTTGGGTATAAGCACCAAGTAGGACACGTGTGGGGAAAGGATCAGGGGAACAGGGCTCTCAAAACCAGCCATTCAGACTTCACCCAGTGAGGGCCCAGTGCAGCCTACCTGAACCTGCCCAGGGGCCAGGGATGGCCAGCACAGCATCCCCAGGGGGCTCTAGTGGCAAGATGGCCCCACAGTCATGCCCATTCCACATCCATCATCCCCAGCAAAGAACTCCAGCCCCAAAGTGCTCGTAACAAAGACATTTTAATGCATAAGGCACAGTGAGAGGCTGGAATCAAGCATCCTCACACACAAAGGGCCCAGCAGGCTGAGCAAAAGAACATACACTCTTCCCCACTACCGCTGGGCACCCTGGACAGTCCCCTGAAGAGTAGGGGGCATCCAGTCTTTGGCACGGTGCCTGGAGCAGGAAGTGACTAGCATGGTCCCAGCTACCCCTCTGTGGGAATACTGCCACCAAGAGGCAGCTCTTTGGTCTGGATAAAGTCAGTGCAAATGTTCAGGGGTCAAGCTCTGGAGGAATGAGGGTGGCACAGTGCCCCAGGGCTGGCAGTCCCTGAACAGTCTCCTCACCCCTCATGGGCAACATGTGGGCTTCTTCTTGCTGGCAGTTAGGTAGAGGTTGCTGTCATCACTGTTGATGCCTAAAGAAAGGTGGGAAATATGTGAAGCAGGGATTGGAGGCTCACTGTGCCCTCTGCCACCCTCAACCAGGCAGGCACTCACGGACAACATCCCCAATGCGTCGGGCCCCCGATTTCTCCAGCTCAGCCAGCACATTGGCCTCAAAAGTCAGTGCTGCCACGCGGAAGAAGAATTCTCGGACATTCTCACCTGACACAGGGAGCAGATAGGTGCTCAGGGGCAGTGCCAGATCTGGGGACACAGGGCACAGCTGGAGGTATAGCAGTGAGAGGAGAGCCAGGCAAGAGTGTCACAGCAGAGCCCTGAAGCCTCCAACTCACCAGTGAGAGATGAGACTGCCCAGTACTCAGCCTTCATCTCCTGGGCCACCTGGAGGGCGTCTTTCTCCATCAGCGCATACTGAGCAGGGGTCTGAGGGAAGGCCACAATCAGAGGGGGGCATTCCCTCACCAAGCTGGGAAGTCCCCCCACTGGCACACTCACACTCAGATCCTTCTTGGAACCTACGAGGAAAAGCAGCACACTGGAAGGGTCATTCTCCTTCAGAGCATCAGCCAGCCACTGCCTGCCACGGGTGATGGAAAGTGAGGGATGAGTAAGCCTGCAGGGCCCCTCCTGCCGACATTCATATGCCCAATTACCCCCTCTCTGGTGCAACATGCATTCTTCTTCTTCCTGACCACCCTTCTGTTCTGAACCCTCTCTTCCCGGAGCCTCCCATTTATTGCAGGATGCTCACATACTTGGTATGTTCCAGAGATGCCACATCATTCAGGTTGAAGACAACAATGATGGCTGGAAGAGTGGTAGAAACAGCCCCAGGTCGTTGACAGGGAAGACACTACTGCTCATTTCCCCAATTCTTTTTTTTTTTTTTTTTGTTTTTTGAGACGGAGTCTTGCTCTGTCGCCAGGGCTGGCGCAGTGACCGGATCTCGCTCACTGCAAGCTCCGCCTTCCGGGTTCACGGCCATTCTCCTGCCTCAGCCTCCCGAGTACTGGGACTACAGGCGCCCGCCACCTCGCCCGGCTAGTTTTTGTATTTTTTAGTAGAGACGGGTTTCACGTGTTAGCCAGATGGTCTCGATCTCCTGACCTCGTGATCCAGCCGCATCTCCGGCCTCCCAAATGGCTGGGATACAGGCTTGAGCCACCGCGCCCGGCTCATTTCCCCAATTCTTCCAGCTCCAGATGAGGAAGCCATCTGCACTCTGAGACCCACCTACCCCACTTCACCCAGCGCCCTGTTACCTTGAGCTCCTCGATAGTAGGTTCGCACATGCATTTGAACCTCTCCTGTCCAGCGGATCCCAGCTGGGAGGAAGGAGGAGTGAAGCACAGGTATGGTATGATTGGGGGGTGTGGGGTGCTGGGGGGAAGGGATAGCTGGAAGGGGTGTGGAACACTCACAGCTGCAAACTGAAGAGGGATACCCAGCACCTCAAATCTGTCCATCTCGAAGTCCACTCCAATGGTGGCCTTATAATTCTCTTATCAAAGGTGTCTTTGCAGAACCTGAGAGGGTACCAGATGCTCCAATCTGGAGCGCCCACCTGTCTAGGGTCTCGCCCACCCTGCCCAGTTCAGCTCCAGCACCCCTTACCTATTAATGAGGCAAGTCTTCCCCACCGACAGGTCCCCGACCAATGATCTTGGAGAATTTAAATCTGGCTGGACCACAAGAGTGGGCAAGGGGAGTGGGCACGAGCTCTTTCACCCTAGGGAGTTCCAAATGCATCTGACTAGGTCCAGAAGGTAGCTGCACCCAGGTGCTGAGGGTATTATAGACAGCCAGGCGTCCCAGGCAGCGGCCTGACAGATGTGCTGGAGAGGAGGAGTGTTTTGTTTGCTCCAGCAGCAGAGAGACGTGAATTTGAATCCCAGCTCTCACACTTGATTAGCTGTGTGACTTTGGACACATCTATTTAGCCTCTCTAAGCCCTCAGTTTAACATTTAGGTGAAGTTCAGTATATATTTTATTGGGTCGTTGTGAGGTTAAAATGAGATAAATGTCCTATATCTAAGACACCCTCCCCCAATTTTAATGTCTCTGAAATCAGAATATATCTTAAGGTGATGGACGTTTCAATAAAGATAATGATAGTAGCCCAACACTGCCTGGCACACAGCCCAATTGCTTATTATGGTGCCAACTAGTTATCAGTATTACCCTTATAAAACCACAATAAGGCCGGTGCGGTGGCTCAAGCCTGCTAATCCCAGCAACTTGGGGAGCCGAGACGTCGGCGGATCACGAGGTCATGGAGATCGAGGCCATCCTGTGCTAACACGGTGGAAACCCCGTCTCTATAAAAATACAAAAACTAGCCCGGGTGAGGTGGCGGGCGCCTGTCAGTCCCAGCTACTCGGGAGGCTGAGGGCAGCGGAGAATGGCGTAAACCCGGGAGGCGGAGCTTGCAGTGAGCTGAGATCCGGCCACTGCACTCCAGCCTGGGCGACAGAGTGAGACTCCGTCTCAAAAACAAAACAAAACAAAACAAAACCCACAATAAGACTCATCCCTGTAAGCACAGCCAGACCCCTGCCCTGGGGCTCCATGGATGCTATGTGAGGATCTGAGCAGGTGACCACCTTCCCATCTCAGACACCTTAGTCTCTACTCAGGAATCCAGCTGCCACCCTTCTAACCAACCCCATCTCATAGAACTCACAACAACCTTATTGGGAAGAAAGGAGAGAACACAGGGGCTTAAAGGGGATAGGAGCTGAAATGAAGCCCCAAGGGGGTGGGGGTGGTTGTTTACCCTCGTTATGACTAGAGTTTCCTGGGACCTCCTCTCTTTGCTGTGGGTGTCCCTAACTCACCCCACGGTGCCTGTCCGGTGTTCCTGGCAGGCGCAGGTGACGCGGGGGTGGAAGTCTTTGTGCACGTGCAAAGCGGCCTCCTTCCTCAGGCACTTAGTGGGAAGGATGAAAGAGAATGGAGCTTCCCACTCCTGGCCCTTGTCCCGTAGCCAAGCGGCCCGGGTAGGGGTGGAGTGCAGGGACCACCCAGAAGCAGCAGGCCTAGCTGGGTGGCAGGGCTAGGCCCAGTCCTCTAACTGGTCTGGTGCCGCCTCCGCCCCGCCCACACCCCGGGCTGTAGACGGAAGCCCGACGTGGCCCCGGCGCCTACCTGGGGCAGCTCTGCCAGGACGCGATCCCTCCGCACGGGCGCCAGAATGTTCATCCTGCCTGCCGCCTTGCAGGGCGCCCTGAGAAGGCGCCGAGGCCGGATCCGCGCCAGCGACCCGGGCGCGTGGAGAGCCGACGATCACCCGCGGCCGGGGTGTCCCGACTACAACTCGGGGCCACGGGGACCCTACGGGAGCCCGAGGTCTCGGAGACGCTACGACCACCGCGGGCCACGGAGATGAAACAATCACCCGGGGCCGGGGCGAGCCCACAATCACCCGGGCCCTGGGCGTTCCAAAGATGACTCGGGGGCGAGGAGACTCCGCCGCCGCCAATTGGGGGCGGGGAGTCCCGTCTGGTGTGGGCCGGGCCCGCGCAGACCCTACGATTACGCGGGGCCGGATAGCTCCTACAATAACCCGGGACCGCGGAGACCCGACGTCATCTCGGGGCTGAGGCTGCCCTACCATTACAGAGTGGCCCCGGGGCGCGGAGTGGCCCCGCCACACGGGGTCAGTGTGGGCAAGGGCGGCGCTGCCAAGGCCAGCAGGCCGCTGGAGGAGGGGGCGAGGGGCCCAGTCCGGCTGCAGGGCCTCGAGTCCCACTCGGCTGGGACTCCGCGAACGCTGTAACACGATCCCCGGAAATTCCTAGCGAAGGGCCGCCCCCCGCCCCTCTCCTGACCGCTCCAGGCCTCGCTGCCCGCCCTCGCCTCCCCCTCCTCTCCACGCCTCTGCGCTGCCCTGCTCAGGCTCCCTCGTCTGACGCTTCACCGGGCACCAGGACCGCCCCCAACCAGGCTGGAGCCTATCCAGATAGGGACTCCCCAGGCTGCTCTCCCCTGCACCTCTATGCCCGGCTCCGCCTTCAGGGGGACCCTTACCCAGCCGAATTGGTGATAGGGAATCGGAGACTGCTGCGCAGCATCTGGCGATGCCAGAAACCAGCAGGGAGGGGAAAGGGGGAGAGAAGGGGCCCAAGGAGAGGCGGCGCTTCCCTCCTCAACTCCGGGCCTGGGAGGTGACTCACAGAGAGTCTGCCCCCGCTCGCCCTTCTGCCCTGGGAGGTCAGGGGTGGTGGTGGTGGAGGGGAAGCGTGCTAAGGGGGTGCCAGGGTTAGAATGACGTGCCCACCGAGGAGAGAGACGTCTGAAGTTTGGCGTCTTTTCCTTCAAGGCTGCTGTGTAGATTGTGAGATGGGAGGGCTGAAGACCAAGCTGCCTCCCTCTAGGGAGGTTAAAGAAGGGCTAAGTGGACCCGGAAACTCCGCTCTTTGGGGTGGTCTCCGCTCTGGGAGGCGGGGACTCCCCTCTGACATGGGTGTTCATTGTTCTGGCCCCACTGGAATCTATCCCCCAGAGACAACTTCTTTTTGCAAAGTCCTGCAGGATAGAAGAGGGGGCAGTGCACAATCAATTTCACCGTCAAAGGCGACATCTCTAGTTTTATGAGGGGAGAGGGAAGACAGAAAGGATCAAGTGGGGATGGGTTAGGCACACACCTTAGGAGATGTAAACCTGAGTGTTATGAAACCTTTCTCTGTGTCTGGAGCTGAATTTGAGGATGTAAAGATGACCAGGACACGGAAGGGAAGACTAGTTTTGGGCAGGGGATTGTGAGTCAAGTTACTAACAGGAAGAACTAGCGAATCTTGTAGAAATGTGTGGAATTTTCATAGAACTTCAAGTGCATTATCAGGAAACGCAGTGAAACTGACAGTATCAGTGTCGCAGGTAAAGAGGGGCAGATGTAGCCGCCTTGTACTTCCTCTGACACTTTCCCTCCTTCTGACTCGGGTTTTTTTTTTTGTTTTGTTTTTGTTTTTTTGAGACAGGGTCTCACTCTGCCACCCAGGCTGGAATGGCTCACTGCAGCCTCGACCTCCAGGGATGAAGCGATCCTCCCACCTCAGCCTCCCAAGGAACTGGGATTACAGGCACGCACCACCACGCCCGGCTAATTTTTGTATTCTTTTGTAGAGACGGGGTTTCGCCGTGTTGTCCAGGCTGGTCTCGAACACCTGGGCTCGAAGCAATTCGCCCACCTTGGCCTCGCAAAGTGCTGGGATTACAGGCGTCAGTCACCGCGCCCGGCCCTGACTTGATTTTTTCTGCCACCAAATCACTGTTACTGATAAACCACATTCCTCTCTGGACCTCAGTTCGACCGAGCAAATCCTGCTCCAACACTCTAGAACTTAGCTGTATCTAACTCCCGAGTCAATCTAAATGTGTTCTTTACTCTTGGCAGCAGCGTTCCTGCCTCCTGGCATGGCAATCCTCTTCCCTGAGACTGGCAGTTGCTCAAGATGGGAAGCTCCCGGGACCAGACCCGAGCGACAGCCGGCTACGCCGTCCGCTTGCCTGAGCAAATAAACGCGTGTCTTCAAAAAACTACAACCCCCATGGTGACATGCGCCTGTAGTCCCAGCTACTCGGGAGGCTGAGGCAGGAGAATGGCGTGAACCCGGAAGGCGGAGCTTGAAGTGAGCCGAGATCGCGCCACTGCACTCCGGCCTGGGCGACAGAGTGAGACTCCGTCTCAAAAACAAAACTCCCCAATTCTTCCAGCTCCAGATGAGAAGCCATCTGCACTCTGAGACCCACCTACCCCACTTCACCCAGCCCCTTACCTTGAGCTCCTCGATAGTAGGTTGACGCAATGCATTTGAACCTCTCCTGTCCAGCGGTATCCCAGCTGGGAGGAAGGAGGAGTGAAGCACAGGTATGTATGTTGGGGGGTGTGGGTGCTGGGGGGAAGGGATAGCTGGAAGGGGTGTGGAAGCACTCACAGCTGCAAACTGAAGGGGATACCCAGCACCTCAAATCGTTCCATCTCGAAGTCCACTCCAATGGTGGCCTTATAATTCTTATCAAAGGTGTCTTTGCAGAACCTGAGAGGGTACCAGATGCTCCAATCTGGAGCCAGCCCACCTGTCTAGGTCTCGCCCCACCCTGCCCAGTTCAGCTCCAGCACCCCCTTACCTATTAATGAGGCAAGTCTTCCCCACCGACAGGTCCCCGACCACAATGATCTTGGAGATCTTAAATCTGCTGGACACAAGAGTGGGCAAGGGGAGTGGGCACGAGCTCTTTCACCCTAGGGAGTTCCAATGCTCCTGACTAGGTCCAGAAAGGTAGCTGCACCCAGGCTGAGGGTATTATAGACACCAGGCGTCCCAGGCAGCTGCCTGAACAGATGTGCTGGAGAGGAGGAGTGTTTTGTGCTCCAGCAGCAGAGAAACGTGAATTTGAATCCCAGCTCTCACACTGATTAGCTGTGTGACTTTGGACACATTATTTAGCCTCTCTAAGCCTCAGTTTAAACATTTAGGTGAAGTTAGTATATATTTTATTGGGTCGTTGTGAAGGTTAAAATGAGATAAATGTCCTATATTCTAAGACACCCTCCCCCCCATTTTAATGTCTCTGAAATCAGAATATATCTTAAGTGATGGACGTTTCAATAAAGATAATGATAGTACCCAACACTGCCTGGCACACAGCCAATGCTTAATTAATGGTGCCAACTGTTATCAGTATTACCTTTAAAACCCACAATAAAGGCCGGGTGCGGTGGCTCAAGCCTGTAATCCCAGCACTTTGGGAGGCCGAGACGGGCGGATCACGAGGTCAGGAGATCGGAGACCATGTCCTGCGCCTAACAACGGTGAAATCCTGTCTCTACTAAAAATACAAAAAATTAGCCGGGCGCGGTGGCGGACACCTGTAGTCCCAGCTACTCCGGATGCTGAGGCAGGAGAATGGCGTGAACCTGGGAGGCGGAGCTTCAGTGAGCTGAGATCACGCCACTGCACTCCAGCCTGGGTGACATAGCGAGACTCCATCTCAAAAAAAAAACAAAAAAAAACTACAACCCCCATGAAGCTTTAGTGCCTTTGAGGGGAGGAGTGGCGCATGTTTGTTCACGCACGAAGAAGAAATTAAACCTAACTACCGTTCCCAGAGGGCGCCACTCTGCAAATTACCAAATCAGCTCTAAGTACAAAGCATCGCGAGTCTTTGATGAGATTTGGCGCTATAAGCCTGTGGGAACGGGCATCAGAGACCCTTTTCACAAGATGGCGCCGAAAGCGAAGAAGGAAGGTGTGTGTTGGGGATGGGGCCGCCGCTGGTTTGCCAGGGATTGCCGCGCCGCAGAGGGAACGAATTGGGAGCATGGCTGCTGGGCTAAGTCCTGAGGGCTCTGCTCCGGGGTTGCTACCCGCGTTTCGGTCACGCTGCAGTATACTTGGGCCGCGTGGGCCCAGCCTCATGGGCTGAGTTCCGGTGGAGGGAGTTGGGGAGGCAACCCGGCCGACATCATCCGCCAGGGAGGGCCAGACATTCGGCTCTGGGAAGCTACACGCCTCCGTTGGTTGGCGCTCCATGTCCCCGGGCCTGTAAGAAGTTAGTGCCCTCAGCTTTAACCATTTTTCCTTCTGGTTCATGTTTAACCGGGCTACATTACCCGCCCCCCTCTCCGCTGCCTGGTTTTGCAATGGGGTATGTGTAAAATTCCTAGGACATTTTCTGGAAAGTACTAAGCGTTCGTTCAGTGCTACTTTGTTTTATAGTCGTATCCTTGGACTTACTTCGAGTTGGTCGCTTTCGCCTCTGGTATCGTGCATGTGATGGAAAAGTTTTAATCTCCTGACATTTGTGATGTCTTCAAAGGAACCACTGATGCACGTGTGGCCAGGGTCGCCGACTGCAGTTCTTGGGGCCGGAAGTAACCGATTGCTAACCCGCACCCCGTTTTCTTTTCTTCTCTACCAGCTCCTGCCCCTCCTAAAGCCGAAGCCAAAGCGAAGGCTTTAAAGGCCAAGAAGGCAGTGTTGAAAGGTGTCCACAGCCACAAAAAAAAGAAGATCCGCACGTCACCCACCTTCCGGCGGCCCAAGACACTGCGACTCCGGAGGCAGCCCAAATATCCTCGGAAGAGCGCCCCCAGGAGAAACAAGTCAGTACTGCCCCCTCTACCCATGAAAAGATTTGGGTATTCTCTATTGGTAATTTGGAAATCACTCACCCTGTGTGATGGTTTCTCAAACACAAATTGTGTCCAGTGTGCTTCTCTAATTGGAAGTATGAGGGGATTGTTTCTGCTGTATTTACAAAACTGGCAGGAATTCTTTTTAAATCAGCCCAGAGGCCGGGTGCGGTGGCTCACGTCTGTAATCCCAGCACTTTGGAGGCTGAGGCTAGCGGATCACTTGAGGTCAGGAGTTCGAGACTAGCCTGAGTAACATGGAAAAACTCCGTGTCTACTAAAAATAGAAAATTAGCCGGGCGTGGTGGCGCATGTCTGTAATCCCGGCTACCCGCGGGAGACAGAGGCAGGAAAATCACTTGAACCCGGGAGGTGGAGGTTGTGGTGAGCCGAGATCGCACGATTGCACTCCAGCCTGGTCAACAAGAGCGAAACTCCATCTCAAAAAAAAACCCTGAGTCTCAAAATTTGTTAGGTTAATTATTGCTTCACATGTGGTCACGGTTTGAAAACTATTTTGGGGGTACTGTAAAGTAAAATACAGAGATTCCTTGTTCATAGTTCCTACTGCTATAGGGAACAATCCTTGAGGGTGAGAACATGGATTGATTCTTGATGATAATGGGGATTCCGTTATCTGTATTTGGCAGTTATGGGCTGCTGCGATGTATAGAAGCTTCTTTGCATTCATTTTCCCAAATTTTCATATTGCTCAAGGAATGGTTGGGGGAGATGGGCAAAAGGTTGGGCACTTGAGTATTTGAGCTACCGGTAATAACTAACTTTTTAGGGAGCACAGATTTGAGTAGAACCATGGTAGTAGTTACTAGCAATGGGTTTTTGCTGTTTCTACTCTTTCCTAACAGAAAGAGTGGATTGTGTTCAATAGGAAAGCAGTTCACAGACTGTCTTCCTGCCCTTCCCCCCACCAAGTTGGACCTAGGATTGAGTGTGATGAGGTTTAGACCTGACCTGGTTTCAAAACAGGAAAGTAGTGTCTGAATAAACAGCCGGGCTCTGACTTTAAATGGGGAAAGCTGTTACAGTTGTGCTTAAGCCCCTGTAAGTTTAACCTCAGCTGTGCATAAGAATTTGCTCCTGGCCCAATTCTCCTGCCTCGGCCTCCTGAGTAGCTGGGACTACAGGCTTGCACCACCACGCCCAGCTAATTTTTGTATTTTTAGTAGAGAGGGAGCTTCACTAAGTTGGCCAGGATGGTCACGATCTCTTGACCTCGTGATACGCCTGCCTCAGCCTCCCAAAGTGCTGGGATTACAGCCATGAGCCACCACGCCAGGCCCAGAGATGATTCTTTAATCACTTGAGGTGTAAGAGCCCTTCAAGAGAAAGAAAATGTACAATGTTCTGCCCCTGGGGTTGGGGCTTCAGGCTCTTAGATTTCAGGGTGCAGGTGATGACACTGTAAAACGACCAAAGTCTGAACAAAATGATTGGTACCTTGTTGTCTGATGCCCTAGGCTCTCCTGGCTCTGGGCTCCAAAGAAGGCCCAGGCCAGGTGACCCCATTTTGCCTCTCCTAGGCTTGACCACTATGCTATCATCAAGTTTCCGCTGACTACTGAGTCTGCCATGAAGAAGATAGAAGACAACAACACACTTGTGTTCATTGTGGATGTTAAAGCCAACAAGCACCAGATTAAACAGGCTGTGAAGAAGCTCTATGACATTGATGTGGCCAAGGTCAACACCCTGATTCGGTGAGCTGGGCCTCAAGGGATGGGGAGCGGGCTGGACCAGCAGCTGGAGCCAAAAAAACCTACATTTCATGAAGCTCTTTGATGTTTAGATAGTCCTGGTAATGCAGGACTACACGTATAGTCCCAGTTATGCAGGAGGATCCTTGAGCCCAGGAGTCACCCATGATTTGCCCCATTGTACTCCAGCCTGAGCAACCAAGCAGGGCCCTTTAAAAAAAAAAAATCCTCTGGACCTTTCAACAGGGGAAAAAGGTTCCTTGACTTAAACTTGGAGTAGGTTTAGCAGTGTGTGAGCCTTGAGGCAGGAATTACAGGCTGCCTTAATTACAGACCTTTGTATGGACCTGAGGCGACACTTTCTAGGACTTGATTGGGGGTTGGTGCTCATTTTCTGGGTCCCTACTTCTATTTTCTTTTTTTTTTTTTTTGAGACGGAGTCTCGCTCTGTCGCCCGGGCTGGAGTGCAGTGGCCGGATCTCAGCTCACTGCAAGCTCCGCCCCCCGGGTTTACGCCATTCTCCTGCCTCAGCCTCCCGAGTAGCTGGGACTACAGGCGCCCGCCGCCTCACCTGGCTAGTTTTTTGTATTTTTTAGTAGAGATGGGGTTTCACCGTGTTCGCCAGGATGGTCTCGATCTCCTGACCTCGTGATCCGCCCGTCTCGGCTTCCCAAAGTGCTGGGATTACAGGCTTGAGCCACCGCGCCCGGCCCCTACTTCTATTTTCAAAGGCCACTAGAGTGCAGCAGATTACCTTGGTTTAAGTCTTAACATGGTCTGTGGTGTTTCCCATAAGAGAATTGGCTTCGTGGCTTCATGGTGTCCTCTGGGTTGATGGAAAAATAATCATTGGAAAAGAATGACATGAACAGAGGAACCACTGAAGTGCTGGAGGACTGGAGGAGAAAGGGGGAGGGTGTGGGGGCAGTGAGGGTGGCAGGGACTAAGGCTTCCTTCTCTACCCCAGGCCTGATGGAGAGAAAAAGGCGTATGTTCGACTGGCTCCTGATTACGACGCTTTGGATGTTGCCAACAAAGTAAGTTTCCTTCCTACAAACCCCCTATCATTCACCCCTTGGGTGCAAATGATGCATATGTTAGCGACCAAAGCCTGATTTTTGCTGATGAGTCATAATTAACTGACTGCACCCTATCTTAACAAACCTTATCCTCAATGTTCCTCATTTTGCTTTCTGAAAATAACATTCCAGCTTAATCTTCATGTTTCAGCTCCAGTAACGAGGCTCCCTTTTGTTTTTCAGATTGGGATCATCTAAACTGAGTCCAGCTGCCTAATTCTAAATATATATATATATATCTTTTCAACATATACGTGCCTCTCTGTCAATTTCTGGTTGGGCTGGGAGGCCACACACAGTACACTGACATAACAGGGCTTGGGCAAGACTCCTGTTCTACTCATCCTTTTGAAATATTCACCCTGCCACTCTACCATGTGTGATCACTCCAGAGATCTTTGTGACTAGAGTTAGTGTCCTAGGAAAACCGGAACTCAGAACTTGCCTCCATGGTTGAGGGTAACAAGAAGCAGTACAAGAACCCCTTCTTTTATCCCTGGAAGAGGCTGTGTATGAAACCAATGCCCGGGGTTTGAAGGGCATTAGCATCCATTTCAGGGGAGTGTGGACTGGCTGGCTTTCTGATAGCATTTTGTCCTCACACACCCATCTACTATGTCCCAACCGGTCTGTCTGCTTCTCTCACCCCTTGCCCAATAAAGGACAAGGACTTCAGAGGAGTGCTTTCATTAGTGTTTTCAATAGTGTGGGCGCAGGCTCGGAAGGTGGAGAGGCTGGCCCCAGAGGACGCCCAGGCTTGGGGCTAAGTCCCAGTTTCCATGTGAAGCTGTTTCTGGCCTTGTCCGTTTTTGTTGTCCCAGACTCTGTGCCTCTCACTCAGTCAAGAACTTGTCTTTGTGTTGCTTCCTGGGGACACGCTCGGGGCAGAAGTCAGAGCGGAGGAGGCGGGAAAAGTAGATTATGATCATCACGTCCAGCATGAGCAGGATACCCAGCAGGAAGGTGCCCAGGGTCCTCTGCCTCACATAACGCAAGAAGAAATGGGTGAGGTAGACCTGAGGGGCCAGGCGGAAGACAAAGTACATGACCAGGTTCACATACTTGTTAACCCTATAGAGGAGATGATCCTGGGCATTATTGATTTTCATCATCATGCGAATCGTGAGGAAGATGTTGCTGACTTCCACCAGTAGTGTTAAGACACCACCACCGACAAAGCTGCTCCAAAAGATGCCAGAGAAGAAGGCACCCATGGCCTAGCGGGAAGAAGGGAGAATAGGAGTTAGGGAACCAGATGCAGATGCTTTCCTGGACTTTGGTGGGGGGTATCAGATTGAGGGCTGGAAAATCCCAAATTTCCACCTGGAATAATAGTTTATAGTGGATAAGATGCTTCGTTTTGTTCGTTCAACATTACTAGGTTTTGATCCCTGCTCACAGCTTCTGGCTGTGGATGATGTTCAGTCTAAAGAGGCAGTGAGACCATGGGTTGCTGGCCTCTGAACAAGCACACAGACTGCTAACCTCAGCATCCTAAAAATAAGTAGCAGCACACAGGTGGGGGGTGGTGGGCGGTAAGAAAACAGCCTTCTCCCAGGTTCAGAAAGACGGAGCTGAGACTAGGTTGCTGACTGACACCAGGCCTATACCACATAATCAGCTTCTCTCTTACCATGATGTGATGGACGAGGTATTCCCAAGATGCTCGCGCCTGTCCGCTAGCCACGATGTCCACCGTATCGTGGATGAAATACCCTAGTGGAGGGATGGGGCAAGAGGTCACGAAGGACTGAACAAGCAGCTTCCTTCTCCCTGTCCCCAGTTGGCCTCCCGCTTCCTGGGCAAGACCTACCTGCAGAAAAGCAAACGAGCAAATAGCCAGAAAGTGACCATGCCGTCTCAATCTCCACCAACATGTCGGGAGTCTGCCATACACTGGAAAGGAGGGAAGAAAGCAGGCTCTGCATTTTGGCACCCTCAAGGACCCTCACCTTTCCGGTTACCCTTCCCAGCCCCGGGGGAGCCTGGGCTCGCCCTAGTGGCTGACTGGGAAGCTAAGAGTGGCTGGGCAAAACCCAAGAGCCTCCAGTTTCCCAGGGGCGATCCCCCTCCCCTGGGGCCACTGCGGCTTCTGGTTGGATAGGATACCAAATGGGATCAGGTGAGACTGCGTGGCCTCAGCCCGCCGATGAGCGATGGGGGTAGTAACACAAGAGCCGACCCCAGCTCCCTGCTCAGGATCCCCCGACCACCTCATCCCCACAGTCGCTTACCACAGCAGTGCCCAGATCCCCGACACAATGGAGTGAGCGAAGGAGACAAGCAGGTTGTGCCAGCGCCAGGTGCGCAGGGGGTCGGCGCGCACGTGCACAGGTAGGGGCAGGCGACTGAGCGCGCGCCGGAGCGCCCGGAAGGTCAGCGTGGCGCCCAGGAGCAGCGGCAGGGCGGGGTGCAGCAGTGGGGGCATGCTGGCCCTCCCTGCCGTCCGCCCTCGAGGCCGCCTCCTAGGGCTGTTCTGGAAACCTGGGTCCCTCTCGGACCAGTCCAGTCCGGCCGCCTCTCCCGCCGGGCGCCAGCCCCACACAGTTTCGGCGAAGCCCTCTAGGCCCCTTGACTCCTCCTCGCCCTCCCTGCTAGGCCTCTGCCCCCGCCCCCAGACGCCCGCGCCCCCGCCCCGCCCGCCTGCCCCCGCCCCTCAGGCGCTGCTGCCGCGCGAGCCGGGTGTCCCCGCGGCCTCTCGGTCACCGGCCGGCTCCCGCGGACTTTGGGTAACTAGGAGCTGTGCTGGGGGCGTCGTCGCCGAGGCACCCCTCGCTGGCGCCTCCCGACGGCCGACGGAGTCCCAGTTGCCGTGGCTCGCCCGGCCTCATTAACCCTCGTCCCCACTTTTCCCCGGGCCACCGGCTCCCCCGCCCTGGGCGGGTACCGCGAGAGCTCTCTCCACCCTCTACCTTCTGCGAAGAGCTGGACGGGACCCGACACGCCCACGCCCCTTAAGTCCTGGTCCTGGGGTGGACTCGGGAGCCCCGCCTCCGACAGTGGTCTCGGTGCAGACCCACTGCCCCCACCGCACCACTCGCAGTCTTCTGACCGGAGACCCGGGTTTACCCGTCCCTCCCGCGCCCGCGAGGTGGGCGCTTGGGAACTGCTGAGTAACCCATCGCCACCTCTCCCCGCCCGCTCTTAAGCTCCCGGGGCCGGGCGGCTGTCACAGTCCTCCCTCAGACAGTTCCGGCCCTCGGCCTGGCTCCCCGGAGGCTGGGCAAGCAAGACCGCGGATTTGCCGGGACTGCTGGGGTGACCCGCGCTCTCCAGGCCAGTAGCTTGCAGCAGTTGCGGCTCCTGGCCACTAGGTGTCAGCCTGCCCTCACTGTGGCGCGGGCTCCCTCTCCCGCCTCCGAGCGAGGCGGCTGCTTTCGGGGGAAGTTTAGGTAAACTGGGCGAAAGGAGGAGCCGCTGAGAGCTAGCGAGGGAAGTGAAGCGGGGGTGAGGGCGGGGAGGGAGGAGAGGGTGGTAATAGAAGAGGGGAGGGAAGAAGTGAGGGAGGAGAAAGGTGCTGCGGGAGGGAGGAAAAAGCCAAAAACCTGAGGCGCAAGGACCCACGGACCAAGCCGTTTGAGTGTTTTCCTCCCCTATGGCTCCAAGGTTACACATTAACCCCTGTGGGACTCCTAGGTTAATCAAGGCGCAGTCGGTTTCTAGGTGAGAGCACTGGTGTCCCGGGTGAGCGGCTTTCCCGCCCCTCCCCTTGGCTCACAGAGCTGCTCTGTCCGCCGGCCGACACCGGCCTGAGCCAGCGCCCATCAGCAGTCCTTCCACGTGGGCGGGTTTGGGTACCCTTGCGAAGGCCGGGGCAGGGTTTCTTTCTTTCTTTTTTTTTTTTTTTTTTTTTTGAGATGGAGCCTCACTCTGTCGCCCAGGCTGGAGTGCAGTGGCACGATCTCGGCTCACTGCAACCTCCGCCTCCCAGATTCAAGCGATTCTCCTGCCTCACCCTCCCGAGTAGCTGGGATTACAGGCGAGCGCGACCATGTCCAACTTTTTGAATTTTTAGTAGAGATGAAGTTTTACCATGTTGGCCAGGGTAGTCTCAAACGCTTGACCTCAGGTGATCTGCCCGCCTCGGCCTCCCAAAGTGCTGGAATTACAGGCGTGAGCCACCTCGCCTGGCCGAATACTGAGTTTTTATAGAGCTCCAGCAGAGCAGGAGCCCGGGAGAACCTGGAATTAACCTCACTTCTGGTAAAGAGCCTAGCTAGTCACACTAACCAGCCCTCTGCCTCTAGGCTTTGTCTTGAGCTCATTTCGGCGAAACCGCGGTCTTTCCTTTTCCCCTTGATGCTTTCAGGTAGTGATTCACTTCCGCCCCCATCTTCCCCCATGGGGTTCACCCTAGATGAGCACTGAGGGCAGATTACCCTCCTGCAGTGCGTGTGTATGAAAAGCGAGTTGAGAGTCCTGACCAGCGCGGTGCTCACTAGTCGGGACGGCCTGAGACCGTGTAATGTCCTCCCCAGGTGAATCAACTTGCACAACTTGGGATTTCCCTCGTCCCTCCCTAGGCAAACACGAAACTAACTCTGCTGCCTTCTCCCAGGAGCGCTGGCCTCGGTCGTTTTGGTTGTGTTTATCGTTTGTGTGCCAAGGAGAACCCGATTTCTCCTGAAATAGCGTCACTCGTGGGCAAGAAGGGGGTCGATCCTCTCTTCCCACCCCCGCCCGGCCTGTGGGGTGCAACTCTCAGGAACGCGACATCCTTTTAGTCTAGCAAGCTTTACAAGGGCTGGGTATATGCTTGGGAGGGGCGGGTACCGTGCCCGCCATTGCGGGGCGCGCCCTATTTTCTTGCCCTATCCCTTGGACACTGCGTGGGGCAGGGTCGTGAGGGGAAAGGTGACGGCGTGTCGCAGCGGCAGGTGTGTGGTGCAGGCCCACAAATACGGACGCGTGGCGAAACCCACACCTAGCGCGCTGGCTCCGCCCCGCAAGCCGCTCGCCGTGAAGGGGAGGGGCCCAGAGTGGCTGGGTCCGCGCACGCGCCGCGTGGGAGACGGAAGTTAAACGCTAAGAAATGAGATGGAGAAGTACGAGCGGATCCGAGTGGTGGGGAGAGGTGCCTTCGGGTGAGCCAGGGCTCTGGGGGAGGAAACTGCTAAAGGATAGGGAAAATAAGCCCCAATTCTGCCCGCGAAGCCGCCGCCCGCCTAAACCCGCCCCAAGGCGTGTGCGCTACTCTGGGAAGATCCGCCCAAGCTTCCGGTCCCTATCCCGCGGGGAGACTCCGCCTCTACGTGGGCCACGCCCCTGACAAGCCCATTGGCCCGCCCACTGAGTTCTGTTAGCTTCTTTATTCATTGGTTTTACAAATACTGAGTGCCAGCTATGTATGTCAGGCTTTGGGCCCTGGGTATGCAGTTAGAACCGGAACAGGCGTGGTCTTTTCCCTCTTGGAACTTACAGACTATGGGAAAGTTATACAATAAACAAAACATTATGAATTAAGAAATTATAGCAGTGGCCGGGCGCGGTGGCTCAAACCTGTAATCCCAGCACTTTGGGAGGCCGAGACGGGCGGATCACGAGGTCAGGAGATCGAGACCATCCTGGCTAACACGG